ACTCCTTTCATTCATGTTTGTTCGATTTTATCTATGCAATAAATCAATAAAGAGTCCGTTTAAACCATGATCAGTATATTTATTTTGCCTAGCTTACCGTTATATATGTATCGCGCCCCTAATTCACACCTTTCGAAACGGCCTCTGATCGCCAGTCGCCAGTCACTACGGTTCGCGTTAGCCAATTTCTATTTATTCAATAGTGTATAGCGTGGGTAAAGTCCATCTAACTGTACCTTGTTGCCCGAGCAAATGGCTTTAGTTAGAATACTCTAACAAAGCGCCTCTCGCAACAGGACAGCTACTCCTCATTTTATTGTCCTTCGGCTCAGCGAGCCGACGATACTTTTCTGCTTTCAGATCCGTCAGACGCCATTGTAGCTAACGATTCGACTAACGTAACTGATGGCCAGTAATGGCTCCGTTCTAAGGCAGCGTTAGGACGACAGAGTCGTTCCAAATGTGATGTCAAGAAATGACAAGTCCAACACTCGCGAAGGCTATCGAGTGTTTGGTTTATGTATGACAAACTGATCCTCGACATACCATGAGCGTGTCTGTACATGCGGAACTAATTACTCTAGGCTTTCTCACCCGACACGACATGCTTCTGTTCATTATTTCGGCCTGATGTACGCGACTATTATAGTTAATTATATCCACGACACAGTTCGTATAGCCTTTGCGGTGTGTATCCACAATAATCTTTTGTTGTTGTTGTTACATATTAGGGCATTTATTTCGAAAGCGTAGCAGCACTGATGAGAACAACTTCGAAATTGACTTTCTATTAAATAAGGACATGTCTTTTAAATACATTTAAAAACCTACATACGCCAGAGACTGGTACGCTCTATAGAAGGGATCGATTAACCTGAAACCGTACACTCCCCGATTCAAATCTGCGGGAACACATATAAGAAACTAGATATACTTACTTATGAATTTAGCTGATGATAATATGAGCTAACTGCACGTACTGTTCTCTAAACAGAAACTGATTTATTGTATTCTTCAGTCCCTCGTACGTCCACTATATGCCAGGTAAACTTTACGCTGCGAAGAGGTCTCTGTTAGCATTTACCACCAAGAACAAGGCTGTAGGTAGCTGCATTCTACACGGTGAGAAGACCATGAATCATTTCACAAAGAAAAACCTATATTTTCTTAAATAAATAGCTAGTATTATTGCTCTCGGCTACATAACTTCTAAGTGAGAGGGTAGGTGAACTGGTTTCCTCTAACGGAAAAATCAACTTTTGCAGAATACCATCTGTCACTCAGTATTACTTTGACTTGAATCAATCTCAGCCCAGTCGCGACTCTGTGTAATTGCAACGACCATTCCGTTATGCTATCACTCTGGTCACCGTGGCATTTAGGACAGCGAGCGAGTAGTCTCGTCGTATTTTTACCGTACCGCCAGGGAGGGGCAGCCTGGCAGGACACCGACACCCTTGTGTCGTCGTTGGCTTTCTTTGTTCCTTTATCATTATTTACCAATGATACGGTCTGCTTGGAGCGGCTCTTTATGCTTCTTGTCTGATTCAACTCGTACTGGATGGGTAGTCGTGTTGTGTCTGCGTTAATGATCAGTCAAGCTTCGTCTCGGCATTGCTCAACAGGGACCACATTCGCACAAAACTGAGACGTCATGACCACGATCCTCTTACATTACGTCATGCTAACTGGTTGCACTAACGTGCCCACAGCAGCATTACAAATGCCCATAGCTCATCGTTGCCCCAAAGTAATAGCAACAGCATTGCGGTTTGCTGGCTTTCCAATTCGCACTTGTTCTTGTTCAGTCATTAGTTCACTATTGCCCCCCTTCCCATACGCTTCCATCCCCTAACACAGCACGAACTGTCGCGGGAGCGCGGATGCTCCAGCCGTTGGCGCCCACAGCCACTATCAGACTTCTGCCTGTTCTGAAACACGCCTGTTTGAAATGTTGTTAGAGGTTAGTACTGATGGCAGTAAGCGACAAGCGGTTATGATGGAAAACAACTTCACGCTTCCTGATGATGTCGTGACGCGGCGAGGGGGAACGGTATTAGTCTCGCTTGTTGCTTTGATCAACTGTGGTCGGCCATCTGCTTGCTTCCAGCCCACACACGTGTTTCCCCACCCACGATTTGGCCGACAAGGCTGAAGACAGTTGGACATAACAACCAGGAAAGGGGCGTCAACTGAAATTACTAGAAATTTTTCAAAATCATAGTACAGTCCCATGACACAGAAACCGTCTAGTAATACGCAACATCATTCGGATTGTGCACTGCTACAATAGCTGATAGGCTGATTGTGTGCAATCGCATGATGGAGTCTGTGCTCTTCGATATAACTGGAGAGAACGTCCTTTTGAATACACTGCTGGATAAAAGTGGTCGATAATATGTAAACACGGATGGATCGGATGAGATAGAAGGTGTTCGCTCAGCTGGTCGCCGTTGGATAATCTAAAGCAAGTGTAATACCGGATCAGTGTTTTGTTATGGATTGTAAAAAACATCGTTTGCGGCACGACCTGCGGGACCCGTAATTTCATAAAGGTAAGGAGTAGTTTAAGCGAGTTGCGGATACATTTATATAGAAGACACATACGAAACATACGAAATGCCGTATTAAAATCCATTCGAGCTTAGCCTATGTAAATCAGTCGATATAAGTCATTAACAGTATAGCCTGATCTTACGCTTCAGTAGACGATAGTAAGCCGGAATCCATTTTCAACTATACTACAAGATGAAGATTCATGAGAATTTAACATGTACATTTTAAACAGAACCTTTAGCTCATCGTCGATATTCTTAACATAGTTGACCGTTTAATATTAGTTATCCCATTTGCCCCCTGACCTCGGCCTACTACTTTTTTTTCTATCAGATTAATGTATGACTGTCGTTTAAGGACATCGGGCCTCACCATCATGTATCTACTCCGTTTTCAAACTCAAATCCTGGGCCGGTATCTGTACTCGACTTCGCCTACCAGCTAGAAAGCTGTTGAAGTTATCTTTCTATTTGCAACTCAGTTCACTCGTTCTGTTGTGTTTAACTGCTATTAAAAATATTGTCCGAACCATTTTGTCATCTCCCCCATGCAGCCGCGTCTGTCTACATCAGCTCGTTTGGAGGACCAGTGGCTAATGCTCGAGCGTTTCAACACGATGGTGTAAAGCCCACCATCATCGTCTAAGTAAATGTACATACAAGTATATACATGAAAGTACAATGAAAATACCTTCTTAAGCAACCATGCTATACCAATTGCGCCGTCTCTGACTTCGTTTCTATCTATCCGATAAAAAATGCACAACATTGTAGTGTTGATAGAATGCCAGACGCTGGTTCACTGCAGCGTTTCGTTTTCCCGATGCGATTATGCTTACTAGTTGAACATGGACCCGTACACATGCCATGGACGCGCGTTGGAGATATTGAGGCTATAAAAATGTCGGCATAATATTTGCTGTAGAGGACTCTTTTAATTTGCTTAGGTACTTTACGTGAACAATAAGGCGAGAAACGGCGATGGCTGCTGGAGTATCGACCCACGGACCGGGACAGAGAAACTGTTCCATCTATCGAGCACTTGCTCTTTCACGAATAAGATAAACACAATAGGTCCTTCCCTCATCTGATCCTTGTTGAATTTTTGGTAGACGTTTTCTATTGGAAACTTCATCATTTGGTCGTTTATTTAATCATACTAATCATTAATGACACATAGATATTTGAAGTGGTAAGGTGTGTGTGTGTGTGTGTGTGTGAACAAAAGGGTCTAAAACAAACTAAATACGAATTCTGCTAAAAGTTGGATTTGTATCTAATAAAGCGCACTAAGGAACTATACCCTAACAAATATGAAGAACTTCCTGCTCTGTTTATTATTTCCGAAAGCTATTATATTGTGTATTTTAAAGCTAGATACACGAACGGGCGGTGCGTCTTGATCGAGGATAAAAAAACATTGCCCAATCATATCACTATTGCATATTTTTTATAGTGCTCATAAAGCCATTAGGCTGTAGGGATAGATATTGCACTGCTACGTATAAAAAAAAGATCTGTCTTCAGCGAGCCGTTCTCTCTTAACTTCGCATCTGGATCTTTGCTGCATTTTCACAGGTCCTAATGTAATGTAGTTTATCATTTTCTACTATGTGTTCGAATGACTCATTGACGATACCTGTAAAGAATGGAGATAAATTAAGATGATTTCTAGTTAACACCTGGCAGATTAATCGATTGTAATTACTTCGTAACGATCCTTGTACTGGATAGGAGGGGTGCTGTGGCGACAACTTTCCGATAGTAGCCGATGGGCAATTACTGGCTAACTTACGTTAAAATATCACAGGGTAATTCTACCTCAAGTCAATTATTTGTAATAGTGAAAATTTCTTAGAGGCGACCCATCTGTGCTACTATAACTGCAGATATTTTGTGTTAAGGGCACACCGCCAAATCTTACCCCTGTGCTCTTGGAGGCATACAAAAAGCCACCAGAGTTCATTATTATATAGCGCACCTTATCAGTGAGAATATGCGGTCCGCTATTGCATCGCTAATTACTTTGAAAGACATCTGTCTAGAACAAGACCATCTTATAATTATGACGTATCGGTAATTTATTTTATAAGATTTTTAGTACATCGGACTTGTTGCAGTAGATAACCGCTAATAAAAATTTTAATGGTAGTTCTGGAAAAGTGCTGAAACCAAGAAAAAGGGTTAAATCTATGACTGAACCACTAGTCGTGTTTTGCACGTCGACGTAAATGTTCGACGCTGCTTGAATATTTGTCTATCTTCCATTGTTCATCACCGGTAAAATAAGAAATACGAAACAATTTAAACTTTTCTTGTTTTAGTTGTTATATTCGCATCGAATTTTTCGAAAAATTATCGTAACGTTCAGCACTATGAATCATTTTGTATAATCAGAGGAACAAGTTATAAAGGAGGATGGTCGCCTATGGAACACACAACCCGAAAACGACTCTTAATAGCCTTAGCTGGTTCGAGCCTGCCCTTCCATAACGAATCCTTATCATTCGTGACTGTGCCATTGTACGTATGGAACAAGGCAACGCGGAGCGGTCTGTTTTTTCTCCTTTACAGACGAACGTGACGCCCTTTAGTTCCTATATCCGCAGGCATATCGGTACATTTCCCGTACATGATTAAAGAGTTTGCCCACGACGGTTGTTCTTACAACTACCCAAATGCGCGCTCACGATCCTCTCGACTGCAAAAGGCTCAGGTAGGCTTCAGTGTAGCTGCCAGCGAACCATAACTATAATAAGAATAACATTACAGTTGCTTGCGTGTAGCTGACGACCAGACATCCAAATAGATATAAAAAGTAACCTCTTTTAGTATTAGAGCACACCAGGAAGCATTTTATGGTCGATCTTTGTCCTATTTTATTTTTAAAATGTACCATTAGAGTCTTAGGAAGGAACTACTACCTTTCTGAGAACCTTTGAAGCTTGACTGGTGGGACTTCATAATGCGCCGCAACTCAGCAAAATTGCCCAACTTGTCAGCGTGTCAACAAAAACACACTTTGTTGAATAATTAGTATACATAAATAGTATGTGAGTATTACCATACATTGAATGTTTACGTAGACATAGATTACATTTGTTATCTACAAACAGACACCGGATCTTTCGCATGAGTAAACATAGCGGTGGCTTCAAGGACAAGAAGACATTACCTGAGGTCCGGTACAATCAAGGCGTCTCGAACTACCACGATATCAGAATGGTCGATATATTGCGCAAACCTTCTATTTTCCCAGTACAGTTCTCGAAAATAATCCCAAATGATCGCCCACCAAAACAATCTGTGCCTAAAAAGGAACTACAGAAGCGATCGGTATAAAACTGCGCGTGTCCTGGGAACAGCGTCAGCCACAACAGACCTTGTAGTCCCTAAGCCTAATCTAGCAGCTTACGCGAACTTAAGCTCTCTTCAACTGAAAAAATATGCATAGAGCTTCTATTTGTTCTGCGCTGTAAAAGGCATTTAAAGAAAAAAAAAAAAAAAAAAAAAAAACACTATTGCACGAATAAATTTGATCATATTTATAGAAAATTTGCCAATTCTGTTAGATCGGTTTCTTAAGCTTGCAATCACAATGGAAACGATAACTTGTAAGTAAATCTTAGGCTTTTCAGTGGTTTTACTTCTTGCGGTGTAAGACTCTCGCGAATTATATGCTTTTAGCATACACGCTTTTGACATGATGGAAAAAAAAAGACAACAATCAGCGACGAAACTGCATTCGTTTACTCAGCTTAGCGTTCAGCTCTGACAAATGACAAACACATATATTGATGCGTTGGATCGTTGTTCAATATTCCAGATAATGATAACATATTCAATTCGAACAAAAAGAATTTTAGTCTGAGACCTTGGCAATACGTTATTAGTTGTGTCGACCTCTACGTGTGGCGCTTCGGTCGCTATGCATCTGTTATATATGACTGGCTCCCAGCACGAAACGACATGCGTTTATATCCGGATTGATATTTGTATAGAAATTCTAATAAATATCTTCATTTTTTCCTTGAATGAACTCATATATATATATATATATATATATATATATATATATATTATAAAGCTTTAACTAACAAGATGTTTTGACTCGGGCAGATAAATGTGTCATAGGCAGTCTCGCATGAATACGTATGTGGAATTTCAGCCAGTATTGACTTAACTGTCTGAGTAATCGTTTTAGATTTCATTATGATTCACTGTCTATCCATAAAGTGTCATATGGCATATTTATGAGTGCAAGTTGTTTTTTTTTCTGTGCGTAGTGTACCGCAAAAGCTCACGAACAATAGTTTCGTGTCCGATGGAAAGTTCTCGGTACGGAAAGATGCGTTCTGCTTTGAATAGAAGCTGGTTTTGAGTCGTTTTCGAAGTATACGAAATGCGGGTTTTCGATTTAGGTTTCAGGGAGAACGTTCAACAGCATTTGTTTTAGAAATTGGGTTGGCTAGTGAGATCTTCAGCATTTCTAAGTCAAACAGGTTCGTCAATCAAATCGTATAAAACATTTCGGGTCTTGAACGCTAATGCCGGCTAATAAGATGCGCGCCTGAAGACGTTACGCCAAGCAACATGATTCTTCTGCTAGCTCTTCAATAGCTAACGTTATTGTTCAGACTCTCGTTCGAAGCAAACGTTTCCAATAATTAGCTTTGCATCATGTATGTTTATAGAGTCCGACAGTCTTTGCTTTGCTTTCAGACAACGGCCAGGCCTACCACCTAAATTTAAACCTTAGGCTCTTGTTTATCGTGAGACGCAACTGTCTACATGGTGATGACTCTACAGGCCTGGCTATGTACGGAGGAGGTCTGGGATTAGCTTTAGCTTTAAATAAGTACAATCTAACTGCGCTGTATAATACAAAGCAACGCAGCGCTGCCGTTGGCAAGCCAATGTGGACACTGATAAAATATCAGTCAATCAGACGCATTTATTCACCATGTCAAGTAGCGATCAAAACACTAAAGATCGGTAGACGATCTATGAAGCACATGATTACTCTTGTTGTTTAACGCTGGTATCAATCAAGCCCCTCTAGCTATTGTGTCATTGCATGCGGCTGTTTCCACTGCCAGTGATTATCCAAGGCATTTACTTTGGCCTAACCCTTAACTATGCTCGTCAAATCACTGGTCAAACTATGGTCGCGAGCTGATTCTAGCTAGTGTTAGTTAAAGTGTTTTTGCGTTCTAGGATACGGTGACGTATTTACAGTTGAAATGGGCATGAACAGTAAATAGTTGTCCTGCTATCCACCACGCCATCGTCGTGCGGGGTGGAAAGGGCGACGGACAGACTACAATTCGCTACTTCAACTCGGAAGACCATATCGTACATGATTGCGTTCTACCCTGCTCTCAGGGCATAAGTGCATATATGATCTATGGTTTTCCATAAAAGTACAAAGCCTTTACAACATTTCAGGCAACACCATTAAAGACTGTTCTCTTATTATAAAAGTATTAAAAACTAAACTTTATTCCAGGTCGCAAGTTCATCTAATTAACATATTGCACTTGTAGATATCCAACTATAAGAATGTATTGCGTTGTCCGGGAAGCAATGGATGCTCATGTTCGCTCTGGCCATTTTTTGATTATGTGTGGTCAAATGCTATTGAGAAACCCTTGTTGCTCTTTTATTGCTTTGTCTTGGGATTCAAAAATGGGCACGTTACGCGAAAACACAAAGAACGAATACGAAAAAAAGCATCTATCTGCCTATGGCAAGAAGTTACGAAAGCAATAGACGACTTTTGGTCCAGGTGCAGCTCATTGAACAACCACCTTCTATCCAAAATTTGTGTGCAGTCTTTCTAGACTTTAGAAATCCCAGTGAAATATATCCTTCAACTTAAAATGCCGTATTCGGAATGGGCAATCCAAATCACTTTTAGAAAGAAAAACATAGCTCACTCAGTTATATTAATTTTCTCGTACAGGCCGCACTTATCTAGGTTTATTTACGTATGCTCCTTCATTTCGATGCAGGCTGGTAAAACTTGTCAAAATATCTAGAGCGCTGCTTTTGGTACCTATTATCGACTTTGTTGGATCCGTCTGATCGGGCACTACTTGTATCATTGTTCTTAATTCTGTAAATTTCCTTTTGCGAAATTCCGGAATGGCATCTTTCAGACCATCTAAATGAGCACGATAGACGGAGCAGTTGGTAATTAAGAGTCGAGGGATCTCTACACGCTAATTAGAACAATTAACAACTGCGAAATTATATACCGATATAAAATATGTGCATTACTTTGAGCATATGAGATGACAGGACATTTAGTTAGTTAGATCTAGTATCGAATAGGGTGTTACTGAACATGGCGTTCTCTTTAGTTCCAGGTAGAATGCCATATTGGTCGTGCTATTGTTGCCCAAACCATACGTTCTGCTCTCAGTAACTTCCAATTGGCTCGCTAGCAAGTTAGTAAACAAACTATAAGCAACTTGATGCAAGGCTAATTGTAAGTTTCCATGTGTTCAACTCACTAATATTTTTACTAGTAGACCTCAAATCAAATCAACTGCCTAGCTCTAGTGTCGAACAGGATAATTGTTCCATTAGATATTTGTTTTTATCTAGATCTGCGCCTGACCATTAATAGATGGATACCTAGAGCCGTGGACATAAAAGAAAATGCGGCAATTGAACATTCACAAATGAGAACTACTAGGATATAAAATGTTTGTATTTTTTTTATAAAGCTGCTAATAGGAATATATCAACCAGCGGCATTCAAACACCTGTTACCATTTTTGGTGGTCATTTATTATTTAGTTGTGGATGCGTAGATGTTTTACAATTTGCTTTAAGCCAACTTTTTAATATGTCATGTGTCTGATGCCTGTGAACTGGCCGATTAAAAGACCACATATATACACGTTATATATAAACAAATATAGCATTCTATGTTTTTAATTTGAATTTCTTTGATACTTGTAACAGGCGAGATGGAAAAGTGTAAGCCTTTAACAGACTGCTCCTTGCGTTTATGGCTATTCCAAATTTTGCTAGGTTGGCCAAATACTGGATATTTCAGTAACGCTCTAGTCCCGCGTGTTTCTTCGGCGCGCTAACCGAGGCACACGTACGAAAGGATCCTTGTCGTGAAACATCCGATCACTGTTGCAGGCCAATTTTTACCTATTAAATTTGTAATCGAAACTAGTATAAATACAAGAAAAAAAAAAGCCATATTGGAAATATTTTCTTCAATAGTATCGCTGCTTACGCGCCTCTATAGTGCAAAGTGTTAACTTTCGCATGTCACACATGAATATGTAATACCTTCATATTATATATATAGGGACATATAGCGCAGACTCGGCGGAACAAGTCTCTTAATCAAACGAGTTTTCAGACAGTGGTTCATAGTGAACTAAAATGTTATTTTATAGTAATTACACTAGTGACGAGCAGACCCAGTCAACGACTGTTGCTTTTGTAGACACTCCGCATCCTTGAGCTCTCGCAGTTCATCGTCAGCGACAAGCCTTCATTGGCAGCCAATGACCACACAGCTTACATTGAAGCCTATACATTTTCATAGTAGATGGGAAGGCAAATCGCAGCTGGACCAAATGGCGCCGGTTAGCGGCCGTGGTACCGCCGCGCTGTGATCATCTGCTCGCTCAGCGGTAGGCAGTCATGATCAATGCACTCACCACGGAAGGCTGTCATTATATGTGCTTTACAATAGATGCAGTTAGCTATTCTCTATCACTAACATCGGCATCTAACTATTCTTAGTACGTTACGAAAGAGGAATTAAAATGGCTGGATGCAACTTGATGGCCGGTTTTATTACAATCGGCCGTATTAGGCAGTAATGTGGTTATTATCCCTGCTTGCTTACTTTTAGTTATAATACAAGGTGGACATGTTCGTGGGTGATGGATGGCCAATTTACCTTTTGGAAGACGCCAGGAGGTATACCACTATTAAAGATAAATCGTAATTTAATCAATGTGAGTAAACTAAGGCTGCGCGAAATTACTAATGACTTATCTTTCGCACAACCTACGGATTTACTGTACCGCGATCCGATAATAATGATAATGGATCAAAGAAAAGAAGCAATAGGCTAAAGGAAATTAGCATTACAAAGATAATCAGTTGGAAAGATATAAGGAAGGATATCTACATGTGACCCAATAACCCATTTACACTTGAAGACATCTGCGTGTAAACTATTGGGTTTAGAAAGATAAGCTCCATTACACCGGCCAGAGGAATTTAACCAGGAAGCCAGTCATCCCAATGATGCTTTTACATACAAAAAGAGTTGTATTTTCTAGAATTTCTGGAAGACCAGAAAACGAGCAAGCTGGCTCAATGAGCGTGAGAAGGAAAACAGTGGCACTGCACTATGGTTTAAAGTAGATGAATTATTTGCTTCTACAGACATGCATTGTAACAGACGAGTGCATAGATCGAAACTACTCAACATCTCGATTTCGTAAATCTATCCCTACTACACTATCGTTATCTTGGCCAAACGTCCAAAGTTGTCGTTATCAGTAAGCATATTTATATGACAATCCTCTGTGGATCGTAGCACTCGCCCTCAGTCCGTTGTTGATGTTGTTCGGAATGAACACATTCTATTATCAAAACAATCAATCTTCCTGGATAGACTGCTTTTACTGTGTTTACTTGAATTATAGTTCATTTTTTCCTCCTTATATTTGAGCGTTTGCGAAGCTATTATGCTACACAATAATCCCAGAAAGCTTTTAAGTGAGCGTAGCTATCAGGCGTAAGCGTACCGCTTTGGGAGAGGGAATGGTACCACACAAAGACTACACGCGAATACAGAATGGCTGTCGTTTGAATACTCCACATGCAAACAAGTGGGGAGTCTGGACGAGTTAGTCGAACCTCGACAAGTGGAATCGTCAGTTGTGAACCCATCGCTTCCTTTCTTTAGAAGTTACAAACGTTGGCTACGTTGTGCTCAATGAAGGCCCCAAAGGCCACTTGGTCAATTCTAGTTTGTAACTAGTTTGTGTTTGGCGATCATCAAGTTTTCTTTTAGGAAAACGCTAGAATGTTAGATACCGTCTCTTACGCGTCTGCTGTAAGTTGTCCTTGTGAATACCTGATAGAGTTGATGATGTAGAATCAGAGACCCTTATAGTAGCCTGGCCATTTTACAATTGAAGAACATTGAGACTTTGGTATCGACCACTAGCGCTCCGAAAGTACTCCGATCTCAACAAAAAGCTGCGCTTTCCCCCCATTAAATTACTTATATTTTCAACAATACGCCTTCATTTTTTTCTTCTTCTTCTTCTTCTTCGTCTTAAGCTTAAGACTAACAGTTGCTGAATTGATTAAAAATTGCTCAAATATTAGTTGCTATCGAAGTTTTCAGTCGTTAAATACTACGTTGTATTTTACAATATTACTGATAAAGTACTGTTTAAGGGCTAAGTTCTGCCAAGTTAATGTGACGCCTTAATGCAGCTAACTAATCAACGACAACTGGGTTTCAACCAAATGACTGACCGAAACTGTTCGATTTGGTGTGCCCAGAAATGTGTTTCCTTGTTTGGCGGGCAAAAGACGACAAAGAAATTGGACTAAGCTGACTGGGTCACTTGATCAGTCCTGTGAAGACGTCCATGGAAAATCTAGCCAACTGGCCAAATTTCGTTTTATTCTAAAGATAGAAATTTGCCTTTTCCCGTAAAGCATATTGTTAAATATCTTGGTACTTTTAAGTAAACAGTAGCAACTTCATTTAGTAAAAAGACATGGAAAGAACTGCGCCAGCGTCTTCAAAGCAGCCACCAGCATCGTCCATGCTTATATATCATCAAATGCATGATCTTCATGAAAATTGGGCGAACAAGTATGCTCAACATGTGTTTAATAGCAAAAATGCGGGGGGCAAAGTTCTTGGGTTGCACTTTCATGGAACTTATATGGTTCTGATAGGGCTCTTGTCGTCACGTCGAACTGATTGCATAATTCCTTAAAGATTTAAACTTCGTTAATACCTATAAAAAAATACATATACAATGCAAGTATTGGTGAGATAGCTGAAACCAATGAAAACAACGTTTTTTGTCGGGAAATCGCAGGACACATCCCAGTGGTTTTCTGGATTCTCCGCGAATTCGCCCCATCATGGTCGTCACACGTATACGGACAAGGTAAGGAAGTAGTCAGGTCAGCTCGTTGAAAAAGGTTGTACACATAAACGGTGTCTTGCTTCTCCTCGAATCCCTAAAAATGCTACCTGTAGTAACACACATACGTCCGGATATACTCGAATACGTCGATTCAATTTTGTAGAATATCCTTATCGATGATCATAATGTATTAGTATGGCATTTAAATATCGAAAGAAATCGCAGACTGTCTTCCACCGTGATTCTAGTTAACATTTCGGTGTACTAGATTCGTGTCCTATCAAGGTGACGTGTTCTTTAGTGATACTGCAAATGTAATAGTGATTAAGTGCTAATTGATATAATCACTGTTACACCGCAAATTAACTAACTTTTCCGTACTACGTTCGTATGGCATTAGTATATTGATAAGACAGCTGTTTACGCCTCTTGTGGGGAATCTAAATGTCAAGTCATTATTAGCTTACCCGATGGAACCTAGCCATATATCTGGTGTTTTTTTTGAATTGATTACAAATCTGAGATGTTCGTGTCGTTAGTTTATCTGTTGGCACGAATGCTACACATACGGTCATTGCCGCAGAGTGAGCAGGCGCAAATGAAACGCAGTTTTTAGAGATATTTATGCTATGTGGCATTGCTAACGTTCAATTTGGTGACAGTAATGTGGTTAATTAATGAAAAAATTTCAATTTTTGCTTAAGGTTAGTTGAATATCGCTAGCGAAATAACACATGAGATCCGTTGCTGGGCTTGTGACGCAAGCCAGCTATGCCCACAGACGTGGTATAGTTAAAACCTACTTCAAAGTAGTAGCAGAGGCGCCTAAAAGATAAATTCACTATCATTCGAATTACTGATGCGGAATATATGATGTTCATCCTAAAAAAACAATAAAATCGTACGAAGCACCATTTAGTACACGTCTAAATCTGTCTGTTTCTATTCACTCATTCACGAACATTAGTTCAGATTTATGCGTGCATTTCGTTGTAGGCTACCATTCGCTATCTGCTTGCATTTGTGTAAGTGATAGGTCTGAGTCGAGATTTCAAAATAACAATAATGGTCGATCGACATCACGCAAAAATTGCTGCAAAAAATATTATTATGTCAGTGCCACAATTGAATTAAGGTAGACAAACAATGTTGAGTATGCTGAATAGAAGAGGAAAAATCAAGTGAATATATGATAAAGTTGTAATATTCTCTGAAATAAAAATTATAAATAAGGCTATTTGGCGGAAATCAGCATTCAGCTAAGAAGTACTACGGATGTTTTTCTGTATTTTTTCAAATAACTCGCCATTGAACGATAAGTTCCAGTCAACCAGTGAAATTTAAATTGTATAATGCGCTTTTCGTTGAAACTCCATTTACAAGGTAATAATAATAATAAGCAGATGGTCGTGAAAGTGACGGGTAGTCACATCTGAGAAGTTAAGAAGCGAGTGACAGTTACCTGCATTCGTTTTAACAGATATTTGGTTACCAGCAGTACGATGACACAGCCATTTGATCCTGCTCCAAGACTTTTAATATCTCGGCCCGAATCCAGACTAAACTATAGACAATTTTTTACTTACCTTTAAAATGACGAGATCCTATACACGGTAGAAAGAATTTAAAAAAATGCAAGATAATAATTTTCCTTTTAATTTATTGATATAATGACATATACTACACGATAGGTGCAACTGAATCACGAAACAGGTTTATTGCTCATTGTTCCCATTTGCTTTTGATGTTTTATTGCAGATATCGAGTCGACTTCAGCTTGGGAGTAGTGCCAGGATCACGAACGTCCTCGGTGGCGCTGCCGTAAAAGGCAGGGTGGCTTCAGTCGCAAACAGCATCGAGGCCGAGTTGGCCTATCCCGAATATCGGGATTACGAAACAAGACTGGCTGTGTTCGACCAGGAAACGCGTGGAAACGAGAGAATACAAGCTATTGCCCGTGCAGGTTTCTTTCTTGACGGATGCGTTCTGAAATGCTTTAAATGCGGTATTACAATAACGTTTCGTACGTATTCATGTACGACCAGTGGCGATATTACCGCTGATCATTTGCGAAGAAGCCCGCAATGTGCTTATGCAAAGTCCGAGCAACTGCGACAGTTAATGCGGTCGTCCGCAAATGAACGCTTACGAACATTCGCCGGAAGATGGACTCAGAGCATTCCCAATGAGAGCCTATTAGCCAAGACAGGCTTTTACGTCGACCCGAATGGAGACGGTGTTCCGGAGTGCGCTTTCTGCCGGATCAAAATATCATCATGGTCACCAAATGAGCACCCTTTCGATACACATGGCCGTTTAGCTCCGTTCTGTCCGTTTGTCGTTGATCCACCGCAAGACGCAATCGGTTACGACATTTGTGGTACGGGTCCTTATGGTCAGGCTGTTCCAAATGCTGTAACGCATTCAGCTCCCCAATACCCCAACCTGGCGTCTCCGAAAGCGCGAATGAGCACGTTCGACACCTGGCGAGGGCTGGTAGACCCGGAAGCGCTTGTTGAAACTGGGCTGTTTTTTTTGAAGGAAGGTGATTCAACTAAGTGCTATCATTGTGGAATTGGATTTCAAGGCTGGCAAGAAACAGATGTGCCTTGGGAAGAGCACGCCAGGCTTTCGCCAAACTGTGAGCTAATCAGGCTTCGAAGAAAGCAAAAAATTGAAGGTCTGCAAGAGTCTCCTGGCGAGAAGAACCCCTTAACTTTTCTGCGCGAAGGTAAGATTCAGCTTGAATCGAGAGATGGAGAGGTTCCAGCACCACCATCGGTGTCGACAAAGCTTAACCCGCCCCAGGAGGGATCATGCAGTATTTTCAATACGCCAGAAGGCCTATCTCAATCAGCAACGAGTAGTTCGAGAGCCTTAAACAATTCTAACATTAAAATATTTTCGTCTCCAGGGTCTAGAAACACGGAATCCTTGACCTGCAAAGTCTGCCTGGTGCGACAAAGGGAAACCGTAATGTTACCATGTAATCATTTTGTTACTTGCGCCACATGCGCCGCCACATTGACCCATTGTCCGATGTGCGGAACAGACATAGAACAGTTGTTTAGACCAACTTCGAATTAAGATTCAGATAGTAAGTAAAATCATGTACAATTAGCGTACACAGTTTGGGAATATCGTATCAGCTTTCATCAATGGACAGAGAACATATTGGTTTAGTTATACAACCGTATCATAGCTAGAGTTTAACGAAAGAATTAGATTAAGCAAATTTTCCGCATAAAGGCGCGCACAATGTGGCAAAAGGCAAAACATTGTCTCTTTTCAAAGAAGATAGAAAAGCATTTAACGTAAAGAAAACAAACTTGCATATCTGTGAAGAACATCGTATAGGATATTTGAAAAAAGGAAAAGGATATATGGAAAAGAGTGACAAGAGCACTAAGTACAGCAAACATTGGTACTGTTTGTTATACCTGATACATTTTGACGCTGTCTGACACATAAGGAAGCCAAGCTACATCTAAAAGCTCGCAAACCCAATTAAGGAGAAGCCCTAAAAAAAACTGTGAGACCACTTATGATCTGTCTGCAAATATGGTAGGTTCCGATAATAATTACTCGGATAATTCAGTCATTTTTACGTTTCATCTTAAAATTGCTAAGTACAAATGGCAGCCTTCATAGGAATCACTGTATGGGTAAACGAAAAGTTTCGAGGGTGCTGCGATTTCCCGCGAGTATGTTGCACAAAGTATAATATCCATAAACCTTATATCAACCTTGACCTTACTGTTGTTATCTTCACGTAGTTATTGTTATTGTTGTTGTTGAGGTTCCTGTTGTTGTTGTTGTTTTGGAAGTTGTCATGTCTATTTATACGACTCTTGGAATCAAACGCGAAATATCGAACGTGAAATAAAATACGTTTCAGTACATCAATGTTTTTTAATTATATCAGTGTTTTATGCTAAAAAATCCAACCTTAAGTATAAGATATTATTATAAATATTTCGCTTTTGTCGCCGTGTAAGTTAAAGGCTGCGTTGCATGCAAGGTCCACAGATATTTATCACTCGTACAGGGAATACGGCATGTAGTTATAATACTAATTAATAATAATAACTATAATAATTAGTGTCTGATAAGGTTGAGGATTGTATCAGAGTTCTCTTTTTCTAAGTGATAATAAAGCGATAATACTTCATTGAAGTACTTATTATATGCACGTTACTAAATCTATAAATAAAGACGTAATATGCATCATTTATATCTACATATGCTATCTGCATGTAAAATTAATTTCACGATGAAGAAGCGATTGGAATCAATATACATAAATTTTTCGATATCCACCTTAAAAAGAAATCTTATGGAGACCTTCACATTTACACAATCTTCCCTCTAGCTAAAAATATCCCGGACCCGCAAAGATAACCTAAAACAGCTGGACACCTGATTTTTAGAGTACAACCGTCGTGTACAAAACGCGTTGATGAATTTTTATGCAATTGACTGCTGAATTTTCCGCTAGGACTGTATCCCCTAGCGATTTCTATCTTCACATCTAGTAAGCATTATTTTACGTTGCGTCTACCCGGCGTTCAGTAACTCCTCTATGTAGCTCAAGTACCGTTGCTCGTAGCGTTGGAAAAATATATCGAACGGGGGGTAGCCGCTGCACTGAGAAAACCCTCACGAATTGTATTAAGGAAAGCAAATAAGACTTAAAAAGCAGAAATTGACATATTCATAAAAGGTAAAAAAAATTGTGGTCAACTACTTTGTTCTGTTATATCAGCACCAATTCACATATATTTAAGTGAATACAACACCAGAAATACGCAAACTGTTAGGCCAATATCAAATAATGGAGCTTCCCAGTACCTATTGAGTTACACTTGTCAGTACTAGTATGTCATCGATGTAGAACCTAAATTTGACGTACGTTTCGTGTATTCTGAATTGGACGATTTTTTAATTTCCTTAATAGCTTATTTTCTTTATTTGATGATAATCTGCACGTGGTAAGTTAACATTGCATTTTTTCATTTGAAGTTCGTAATGAACCTTTTAATAACCCACGTACACCATGCCACATCTATTTGTGTCTATTTTGCTAGATAATTATATTCAGCTTTTCTAAAATACAAGTAATTACAATACGATCAGTTTCTCAAAAATAAGGAGTGCTTATGTAGGGAAAAATCTGTTATTGTTCCATCAGTTTCTGGTTGATATTTGAGGCGCTTTCACGACCATTTTAATTTTGGAGTAAAAGCGGTACCGTGTCCATTTGCACACACAGTGTGTAACGATACTTGAGAAGTTGATACGTATATGATCTACTCTCACCACTCTACTCAATATGAGCATCAGCGGCGACAAATGTCTTACACTTAAAGCCCAAGGGCTCGAGATCGAAGATCTAGGATCGACCCGTAGCTGATGCTCAATGCCTTATGTACTTACTGATCTTGGACGATCGGCTCAGAAAGCATTTATCTCTTATCTATAGAGAAAAAATAATTGGGTTTGAAAGCTGTATTATTTTTGAATTGGTTGTCATTGCTTCTTTGGAATATGCTGTTAGCAAGTGTATCAATGCTGTTAAAGAGTTGCAGCACTAATGAGAAAAACAAGCTAGATCTGCTTGGCTAGTGTTTGATATAACCGTGAAAGGTTTATATTTAAGGCCGGATTTTTCCGGCTTCTCGCGCATAAATAAACCACACTCATACTAAGATTAAACTTCTCAAAGCTTCATTTGAATCATTATTTGAGTGAGATTTTAACCATTCTCCCTAACTTCTCATTCGAATGTGCGCGCTCTTTGAATTCCCTTTCCCAAAAGGTTGTGGTACGATTTTTATGATTGTATTTTGTTTTATTCGCTATATATGACACGTTGCAGCTGACGTTCTCGTTCGATCGTTCGTCGACAAAAAGGCTGTAATCGAGCAAAACTATCAGTGGCAGTGCCACAGGGCAGCCGATTCGCCGGACGAACCACAACAGCAGCAATGGCGCGGTTCTACCCTCACCCATTATTCTCTTCGCCTGCTTCTAGCAAGGCGCCGAGTGGCCGGCGGCCAACAGCCACCAGGCAAAGGCGGCCTGCCCTAGCCTTGTACCCATCCGTCCAGCTAGCTAGCGCCCTGACTCGCCGAATGGGTAGCTGCTGTGCAGCGATCGCTTAGCTGCCGCCTGTCCGGTGCCGCTCATGCTCAATTGCTCCAAGAGGAGGCAGCACCGCTGCGGTTCGGCGCGGATACAGTCACCGCTCGCAGTTTGTTTGAATGGTCAAAACAGACCAGAGTGGTCTGGCCTGTAGTGGGTTCCCGTTCGTTGGCTGGCAGGTTTGCTGCTACTGCTGCAGTTTCGGAGCTGCGACCGAAATCGCTATAGGAGCTGCACCGTTGCTTTACTTGCTTGCTTGTTGGGCCGTTAACCTTACGTAGCAGTGCGTTGCTTTCCGTCGCGGTTTCTGCATTACAGTCGGTCGACCTATCGCCGAAGTAATATTGTGATGTTGATTGTGGTTACTCGACTACAAGCAAACGTGCGTAGTACCGAATCGCAGCGTGTAGAAATGGCGGTACTAAATCAGTGTGTGTCTGCCGCGGAATGCTGAAGAAGCTTTGGTTCAATCACAACAGCGTTTATTCTAAGTAATGCCAGAGTGCTACTAGTGGTAGAATCTTATAAAGGCATGCTTTGTTTTCCGTCAACAGCCACCGAAATTGTCATAACGAAGGCGACGACGACGATGACGATGACGACGACGAAAGAAATGTCGACTACAAACAACTTTGCTATCGTACGAACTCAGCAAGTCTCCAAGCCGTATGTGTCTCTCTAGTGAATATTATTCGACAGTTTTATGATATCTGGTATTATCGATTATGTGTGGTGCATCATTCAGTCCAGTTTAAGTCAGCCGTCGCAAATGTTCTCAAACAAACGTTGCCGTTGTTACTGTTGTTGAGCAGGAAACTAGAACGGCCGCAATTAGACCCCTACAGCTCTCCAGTGTACATACGACAGTACCATTCCCTACCGAACGGGTTCCAGACGGCACACGTCGATCGTCCTCAATCGTTTAGCGGACGAATTTGTTGAGAGACAACAAACCAACGCCAAAGTTGAAAAACGTCCCAATCAATTAAGCGCGTAAGCAGCCAAAAAACAGGCAGCAAGGAGATCATTATAGTTCCATTATAGTGCCACTGTTCTATAGGACAACAACAGCGGGAAAGCCTTAGCGATTCCGTTTTGCTAAAATAAAACAGGGCACTCTCTCTGGTGGCTCAGTGATGTGTGTGATGACCGACGACGACTGCTTCAAGCGCCAGCGGGTTGCCAGCTAGTGAGCGGGTCAACGGTGAAATCTCCTAGATGAAATGTGTGAAGTTTGGTTGGGCACTATCTGCTGCCGTGTTATATTTGCTAGCACTCTTGCGGCTGCCGTCACCGGCGCGGGACCGTGAGTGACTCATCAGTCTTGTGGAGCTCGACAAGCAGCGCAGGGTGGCCCTCACGAGGTGTTCATAAGGGCGTCCACCGATTAGACGCGTACAGGAGACCAATGCGATCGCATCCGTGCAACAGCTAACAGACTACGGCAATAAACAGTAGCATCACCGGAGAAATTGTGCTCACGCTGTGCTCACTGTCCTGTCGTAAATGTCGTCTCTGCTTTTTTGGATATGAAAAAGTTCTCAGGCCTACGGAGACAAGACGTAATTGCCCCTGTCGGGAATTTCCGTATTTTATCCTTCATCAAGAGTAACACGAGAGGTTACCTAAAAACAAAAAATACTGGAGAAATAAACAACTATCAAATTGTGGATGACAACATCACTACCTAACTGAAACAGCTGCAGGATCGGGATATGTTTTTGGTGGCGCCAATAACACATCAACATGTGGTAATGATATGAAAGGTTTTCTCGCATTAGCTGGATATTGGTAGCGTATGCTGTTGTTGACAGCTATGCGTGTTCACGTGTGCGCGCGTAATGTCCATGGAGTTATAATTGTCTACGAGTGACTTGTGTTCGACCCTTTGGATACATCGATTTTCGTGAGCGTCAACAAACTTACGTCGTTTGATTAGCGGACATCGTTATCGTTCGAGGCCAGCGGGGAGTGGAAGTTTCTACTAAATTCGAGGGTATAAAGGTAAATGTGTATATATACTTTAATTATAAAGCGGAGGCACGGATTGTTAGTGCTGTTGAACTAAATTATTGCGTTTGGGGTAACTGTTGGCCCGAAGGATATGGAAAAACTCAAAGGCAACAAAATGCAAACAGAGACTATGTTAGACTGAACATTTTGACGGACAACGACATGCATTTTTGTGTACGACACAATTAGATCATGCATATTACTTATGTTCTGTCGACTGTAGCAGTGGCTGCAAGCTAATTAACTATTCAAGAAGGCAAGTTGGCCATAGGATGGATTGTGGATCTAATTCCTAGCTGCAAAGATTATCCGCGACTATATAGATCTATATTTAGGCCTTGGAAGGGGTTTATTGTTATGCGATACCAATAGGCTGCAATCTCGTAGAAATCGTATAGGCCCATATCGAATATCCCGATGCACACATTCGCCGCAAATGCGTAGATCAATACGAGTACGAATAAACTTGTACGGAGGTAAAGCTATCACATTGAATGGAACTCTTACGGAGTATTGATGACGGCAAGGGAGATGGCTCTTGTCCTAAGTACAAAACGAGAATTGAAGCGGCCTAATATGTTGTACACTAACTCACAAATAGGTCAGGAATTGGTGCATAAATCACGTGAAGAGGAAAGTAGATTCAACGTATTAAACCTGTCCCTATTGAAGGCACAAGAGCGTCATCATACCGACATAAATGTCACAATACCGACACTCCTCAATGTTTTTGGTTACTCTCCAAATGGCCAAAATAAATGTTCACCTTGAACTCGTTCGGTGACGGTGTCCTCCTGACTGCAGGACAACTGCCGTTGAGCCGTATCCACCTCAACACCGCGCAACCCCGCCTGAATTCTATATTAAGCCGAAAAAAGTTCACACAAAGATATCCTTTTACTTGCTCCCAGACGACCAATGCTGCTTCATTGATAGCGATGGAAATGGCTTATGAACACGTTGTTTGAGTATCTTTAGCTCTGTCCGAGCTCTACTTGTCGAGAGTTGACTAAGCTCGACTAAAGGGACCTGGGGAAAAATGCTTAATTCTGCATCTTGAAATATCTGCAGCTGAACTAAGACCGTATCAGCACGTACAGAGTGCTTTGTCTAGATAAGACACTATAGATATCGCCCGTTTTTATGCTGCGCTCAAATGCTAAGAGACATTTACATGTTTTTTTCGGGTGTGTTGACCGGCGCATCCCTTACAGACTTGTTTATTCAATGTAACTGTCATTTGCCTTGAATTGTTTCAGTTTGAAGGCCTAAACAACTAACAAGTCATTCTCAAAATTTTCTCCTCAAAATTCACAAATAACTATATTTCTCTATGACGTTACATTGACACCTCTAGGTCTGTTGGGGTTCTGTTTAGTAGTACGACGCTTGGTGCATCTCTTCTTTTCGCCTTCGGAAAAGAATCAAATATTGTTTTGAACTTAATGGCGTTCTCTGCGTAAGTAAGTTTTTTTTGTCTTGCTGAAAGACGCATAGCGTCTATTTTCAGACATTGTTGACCCGCGTTTTAGTCTCAGTTCACACAGAACAGTCTGGTTCTGGCTAAATTGCAAATACCTTTTATCAACAGGGTTTTGCGTCAGCGGTAAAAAGGTCCATGTCGGAACAGTCGAAGGGTGCCGGATGCTTACAATTACTTTAAAGAATAGTTCAGTTAGAAAGTTTCTTGATTTTTGCATCTTTAAAGAAAATCTGTCTAACTTTTATGAAATTAAAAGTAAACCTGGGGCCTTCGCAAATTATACAACATTACGTTGCGCAAAAATAACATCTAAGCTCCAGATTAAGATAGGAGAATTTTTGGATAAGCATTTTTGCATGAGTTTTTGGGCTCCTTTCAAACTTTGTTCTTATTGCGGATCTTGCGCGTTAGTTTGTTGCTGCTTTTTTTTTGGAACCAAAAATAGTGAATGAACGCATGCCCACTGTGATACACTTTAAAATGCATTTGAATTTGAACCGATAATCTTTAGGTCTACATATCAGTAGGCTGGAAAATTAATTTTGGCACATTTATCTTACATTCACCGGTCCATTGTCATAAAATAACTATAACGAGATAATGAATAACTAATAAAGCTAGGTAGATTGGTGCCTCCGTATGTACCTGCGTTAAAGAGACAAATATGTCACTTAAAAATAAGCCGATACGTACGCTCTCCAATTAAGTTGCTACTGCTGCAAAATATTATCAATATGGGCCTGTCCTTTCGAAATGCATGCGATTTATTGGCTGAAATAATATTTACATGGTCGCAGGCCAATAAGAATAAAGTTACTTTTGTTAATAGGTAATTTTAACATAATAAATAATAACAACGCTGAAATGGATTATCAATATTGTCAATTATTATCAAAGCGGATTATCAAGATTGTCAATAGCAGAACTATTATAAACAGAAATACGGTGAACCAGCAATAATCGAAGGGTACGCCTTTTCTCGTAGATAACCGTTTAGATTTAACGGACATATTATTACCTGAATGAAAAATTACAGGTTTGGCATTATAAAAAGTGTTTATTAAAAAGGACGTCATTTATTATTTGCAATATAAAGCTTGAATTAGGTTTTAGCTCGATTATATTATTTATTGCGTAACAAAAACGTTGGAGAGGCGCGAGCAAAACCTGCTTACACGACACTTTGACTTAGATTTATCTATAGATACCACAGTTCTATATTTTCTGAGTCAGTAAAAGCAAAATTCGCAAAAAAAATCAAATCAATGCGCAGACATGCGTATTCTTCTTGACATTATTAAGACAGTTATAATGGTTTATAGTAAACAGCCGAACACGTATATGTAAAGGGAAACTTGGAAGTTACTTGTGATGATGTTTTTACTATCTACTTGGCGGCGTCACTCATATGTTGTAAATTAGCGGCGCGCTGATTTTCAAATCAGAAAATATTGCTGATTGCGGGTTATTTCATGTTGTCATACTGCGTGGTTGTTGACGTTGTCGGCAACAGGAACAGCACAAGTTCCATGTTGTGTTATTATGTTTGATGCGAACGCATTCGTTTGTTCAATTGGAACAACAGTTATAGCAGTAGCAGTAGTTGTAGTAACAGAAAATATGGGAGCCGTATTCGAAAGGGGCTGATGAGCTGACCAACGTTATTTTGAGCCAAGCACGACAATGACTTAGTCGTGCGCACCGTTTGGGCCATGCTGCAATCGAGCTAAATCGTAGATAGGTGTCAGCAGACAAAGATGGTCACAGTTGACGAAGCTGGTCGGTTGATAGGACACGCATGCATTAGAGGTACCTACGGTAGCCCTACAGCCGTACAAGGGGAACCTACCCTATTGCAGTATCGATGGCGGCCGCGGTCTCGGGAGCACCTATCGGCGTCTGCATCAGTACAATCAGCGGCAGACAGAAGCAGTGTAGCAATGGAATTGGAGTGCGCTATTTTGCCGCGGTTTCGTTCCGCGACGCAGTGCGATGCGCTGCGCTTCGTCCCGCGATTTGTATTGTTCATGCCCTATCAGAACGAGTGGAGGCGATCGGCGATCAACCGAACGGACCATGATAGGGGACTGGCGTTTTTTCGAAATCCTGCCGTTCCTGCGGCTGTTATTGTGTACTGCTCGGTGTTCGGTTAGCATCAGCTTCTGCCCGCGCGAATACCGCCACTGGCCGGTGGTTGACAGCTCGCGTATAAAGAGGGACCTGTCACGGTCAGCACCAACATAGTCTCATAGACAAGGCATGAGATGATCAAACGGAATGTGACGATAAGTCCGGCGGTAGATGCACTAGTTCGGTAGTGAGGAGTCCTGCTGATGCTGACTTAACGGTTCAGTATTTTTTTTTGCTTACGAAACCTCTTTGTAGGGACATCCTCACTGAGGTGACAATGTTGGTCGTCCAATATGTGTAATACATATATCTTGCGGAATCGTACCATAAATTTTGTGAATGCAAATACTAGCTTTGGATTGGTTGAATTGTCAATAAGGGGTCAGCGGAAAACAAAGAACTAAATATCCTATCGACATTTCTAGAACGAAAGATCAGTTCATCAAATTACAATTTTATACTAAAACGTTTTCTTTATTGAGATGGACGTTGCGCTTTTATGTCATGGCAGACTTAAACAAGCGAATCAAATTTAGATAAAATGTCATAGAAAGCACTGGGTTAATGTTCTCAGACTTAACATTCATAAATAAAGAATTTCAGAAGCTATAGCCAATGTAGCGCCATGTAGAACCATCGATCAGCGATATGTATCTACGACCAAACGTCCCTGAAAATGTTAATATTTCTAACACTCATATCAGCCACGAATACTTTCTGTGAGAGCAAGGCGTCTTTTTTTTTTATTATTGAACGATAACAATCAGGCATATTAAATGTGTGTGTGCGCATTCAATGCTGTAAAGATAAAAAAAAATTGCTTTTTCTTTTTCAGTAATTTTGTTACCGACAAAACGACCACCACTATGAATATGTGAGGGAAAAGTACCTCCAGAATCAGAGTTTTCTTTATGGCCAAGCTAGCGCTGTAGTAATATGTCTTAACTTGCGTCAAATTACATACCGCTTTCTGCTAGCAGCTTCCAAACGCCATCGTGTGGCCACAACCGAGCGCGTTGTCTAACGTAATGTACTGATATATTGCTGCAAGCTGGCTTTAGGAGAACCCCCTTACCCCGGCTCCAAACGTCGTCAGGAAAAAGTTAGTACTGGCTCTATCGCACATAACAGACCAATGTTTTAAGTTTTGCCCAACGTTTGTATTTTAATAGCATTCTGTTATGTGGTTGCCCCCCGGTACGACAAACTGAAACCAACCAAATTTTCAGGGGCACATGTGGTCATAGCATAGAATAATGCCTACTCTACAATGTATAACAATATATATAAATGGAGAAAAAAGAAATAATCAACCTAAGTTTTATTACGTTTTTCAATTTTTTATTGTGTCTAATGTTGCAGTCAAGATACAAAATGC